TGGTTCATTGCATGGCTGGTGTATCACGTTCTGCCTCATTAGTGATGATCTACCTCGTAAAATATGAACGAATGACACTTCGACAAGCCTATCACTATGTGAAATCCTGTCGACCCATTATACGCCCTAATGTTGGTTTCTGGAAGCAGATGGTGGATTATGAAAAGCGCTTTCGAGGTTGGTTATGTTGTTAACAGGAGACAGATGTCTGTGGGCTGTGGTAGAAGGAATCCGTTGTTTTTGTGAGAAAAATAGAGCCTGAAGGTTTGAAAGCCATATGGAGAAGATTTGGGCAGAAGGGCGAATATTGTCGTTAGTTTCACCATAGCGGACCACTGTTCCTCTTCCACATGCTATAGGATACCGACTAAGGAACAGTTGTCCGTAGGCGGGGCTCGCCGGCTTATTCGTTGCGTTTCATTTGGAGATCGTAGACTTGACAAGCTGCGTACCTACCATTATCAGTGGTGTCATACGGTAGAATCATGGAAATTTTTGTTCAGGATCTGCCTCAGTGACGATGGTAATGACAAATCAGTGTGATTTACCGATCCCGGACATCTATGTTGATGATCTCAAACGAGCACAAGATCGAGAACAACAACAGCAACAGCAGAAAGTCTCGAGCAGTACCCTCATCAGACAACCGATTGCATTGTCATTAACGAAAAGGCGAGGATACTCTGCTAGGTTTGTATGTATTAGTATTAGCTAGCGAGACTTTGTGGCATGTAGAAAATACCAAAAATTTGTTTTGGAAACTTCCTCCCATTTAGAAATTTTTTGTTCACATAAAAGGCTATGAAAAAGTTATACGGCAATTCCTATACGAACGCTTTGGCATGACTAAATTGGGTGATATTATTTGCTAAGAGTCTCTGCTGTTGATTCGTATATCTTACGGGTTAGCGCATTTTCGCTAGCCATCGGTTGAAAGGGCGAAGATATATGTTTGGAGTGAAGACGGTATGTCGCAGATAGGTTCCACCCGCATGAGCAGTTGGCATGAGACTGAATGTTGAGATGCTTATTTTGTTGCAGATGCCCGCACGGAACCTTTTCGGCGACATGACGTTCTTTACCCAATTTGAAATCCTTAGTCTGATAATTATAATATTCATTTGCAGCAATCTCCGGCCAATCACTTCCACACTACGACGCTCCACATCACCGGCAGTCTCATCAAGCAGTGTGCAGTATTCACTGCTTTCACCGACACCGTCACGAAAACCTCGTGACAGTCTGTTCAGCCTTTACACATCCACTTCTCGGCCTTTCTTTTCGGCTTTCTAAACTCTCTGCGGCGCCTTTCACTTAATCCTGCCCTTCGCGACTTGTTAACCCGGTTCGGAACACCTCATGTGTTCCATCGCACTAAGCGCCTAAGCATTCGTCGTTCATTCTTTCAAGTATTATACATCCACAATGTACATATAACATGTGTAATCTCGGCATTTACAATTGTGCAGGTATGGGCGGTTTGAGATAAAGTAGGTGTTGCGTCGCGTGCGTATGCTACGCGACTCCGCCCATGGCACACATTCGGGATAAGCCCTAATTATGCATGTGTATCCATTCAGCGTCATCTACTCAGGTTCATTGTTTCAGTGATGTCATCTATGAGATATCGAACC